GCCTACAGGAGGCCTACATCTGTGAGGGCCCCAGGCCTGGTCATCATGTGGAACGGAGGGCCTACAGAAGGCCCACGCTCCGTGAGGTACCCAAGTCTGGTTATCATGTGGAACGGAGGGCCTACAGAAGGCCCACACTCCGTGAGGTACCCAAGTCTGGTTATCATGTGGAACGGAGGGCCCCAGGCCTGGTTATCCTGTGGAACGGGGGGCCTACAGAAGGCCCACACTCCGTGAGGTACCCAGGCCTGGTTATCATGTGGAACGGAGGGCCTACAGGAGGCCCACACTCCGTGAGGTACCCAGGCCTGGTTATCCTGTGGAACGGAGGGCCTACAGGAGGCCTACATCAGTGAGGGCCCCAGGCCTGGTTATCCTGTGGAACGGGGGGCCTACAGAAGGCCCACACTACGTGAGGTACCCAAGTCTGGTTATCCCGTGGAACGGAGGGCCTACAGGAGGCCTACATCTGTGAGGGCCCCAGGCCTGGTTATCATGTGGAACGGAGGGCCCCAGGCCTGGTTATCCCGTGGAATGGAGGGCCTACAGAAGGCCTACATCTGAGGGCCCCAGGCCTGGTTATCGTGTGGAACGGAGGGCCTACAGGACAAGCGGTGAGTGCAAGTGCTGCTCATCACAATCGCCAGCTTGCTGGCTTTTGGTCGCCTCTAGCGGCAATATTAATGTTGTTAATGTTAATAATAATGTTGCTTAGAGAAGCGAAAGCCGTACGAGGTCACGGAGGCCGCTCGATGGCCACGTGCAGATGCGAAATTCTGAGCGCGAGTGCGTGCGAGTGGCGCGCGTGGTGCTTTGTAAATTGTGTGTCCACTCCCTCGCTGCGCATGATGATAGCAGCAGCAGCAGTGCGTTCAGGAGCGAGATGCAACAGTCGAGGTGTGCTGCTCGACACGTTCTGTTGTGACGTCCTCCAGGAATGAGTTCGTGAGGCTTTGTGAGCATAAACTGCAGTGCTTTACTATCTGGTCCATTGTTTGGGTTGCATGGCCACAGTCGCACTGCTGCGGCCTGTCTTTAATGTACGGTATCTCTGTATTTTGTCCGTCTCTATGTTTATACGAGTATATGTATCTCTAGGTGTATCTGGATTTAATCTAAGTGTCGATATATATGAACCTTATGGCGGGCCCTAGGGTAATTAAGTTATTTATTTTTCGCGACTCCGTCCCACCGCGCACATGAACGCCGTGACCCGCCTGGCGCGTGTCATCCTGCTGTCGTGTCGTGTCCAAGCGCAGCAGCGAGGAGGAACGCGCAGGAGAAACACAACTTTGATAAGCGCATCGTGTGGAGCTCGTCGAGAGGAAGAGACCGCCGTGTCGTTCGCCTTCAACAGACATCAAATGACGCCGCCACGCAGTTTATGCGAGAGCCGGGGCCTGGTGGGCCCGGGGTCCCGCCATAAGGGTCATGAAGGAGACGTGGGCATCAGCCTGCTGATGTTCTGATGCAGGTGATGGTTACACCTGCGTCTTCAACGTGTGATATCAACCATTCACTATTTTGTTTTTATTTCATCAGGTAACACCCACTGAGCTACGTGGCTCTTTTTCAGAAGCGACCTGGCCACCAATGATAGCGCAACGAAGTGGCTTATCACGTGGAAACTTATAGCAGCCAGTTACTCTAAACGCACATTTCTAATGTGGAGTGAAAACCCGGAGGACCCGGAGAAAAATCCACACGACCACAGGGAGAACATGCAAACTCCAAATATACAGCAGCAGGCGTCAGGGTTGCGATCGAACCCACGACCGACCGTACACCAGGCGAGGCAGATGACATCTCGACACCGGGACACCCCTCACCTCGTTACACAAGCAACATAAACTTGAAAAATGAAACTTGCTCTCCAGCCAAGTTATGGAGAACGCTGGGTCCATGAACTTCTGCTAGCAGCAGCCCTCCACTGTCTGTGATCTCCACCGTCGTGTCCCTTCCGTCTGCTGCTGAAGTGTCCCTCTCATTGCTCTCCCTTCGCTCATTGCTTCTGTCAGATTCCTGTATGGCGACGAGGCAATACCATAGCAGTGGGCACTCCCCAAGTCCCTCGTTACTACGGCTACGGATAACGCATGGAAGGTGGGGAAATTCCCCCCATAAATAGCACCGACCAAGGAAGGACATCACCAAACTACGAATGCGGTGAGGTGCAAACCACCAGGCTGCCCAATACAACCACGCGTGATCTGGTGGAAGATGCGGACAGGTCCACTTCGCTATCACCTCTGATGATGCCGTGCAGCGGCTCACAACATTAAACACAATTGTAGCCTGCTGCCGATTTTTTTTTCAAACACCATATTACAGGAGGAGGCTAAGGGTGTGCTTTGACTGTATAGAGCCCACACGTAAATGCCTCCACAACTCAGAGCGAGTTACGTTGCATCTCATCTCAGCCAACCCAATGTCCTGCTGCAGTCTGGCCTAGGGGGACCCCAGTGGCAGTTCTCCCTGGGCGGCACAACATTTACGCAGCATCGGCCTGTCAACGGGCACTGTGTGCGTGGTTTTCGTCCTTCCAATTTGCGAGTCACTTTTCAGAATGCCGCAAAATTGGCCGATGACCCTGGCGCACATGGCGACTCCGTGTCAAATAATACCACGGGCTCTCTGAACGAACGACGTGAAGCAGGATTAACCAGGGCGACCGCTGGGCTCACACTGCGAGCCTCTGCCCCGTGTCATTTATTATTGAACTTGGCGTGTATTGGGAGGCTTCTACGGACATGCATTGTATCTCATTACATTACATGCATTGCACTTCCAGTAACAGCTCGATGCTAGTTGAGCAAGGAGAAACCTGTACTTTGATCGGTCACTCGCAGCTCTTTGTCAGAGGCTGCTTGAAGCCAAAGTTTACTTTCTAGCTGTGCCAGGAAGCATCTCGTGACGCAAGTGATTCAGTACATGATTCAGTACATATCGGTACACGTACAATCACCTACATCACAGGTGGAGAGCGCACGTCCACTGGTTAGCGCGCTGTGCTACGGACCAGTGGACCCGAGTTCGATTCCCGCTTACGGCCAGCACCAGTGACGGATATCTGAACCAGTCTTGGGCCTCCCCTAGGTCGACTCAGCCTCATATGAGTAGCTGATGTGTAAACATCGCCACTCGGGAGACAAAGGCGGCCAGGTGTAGACCTGGCCATCCACCCCCTCGTGTGCCGTGCCGGCCTTCGTAGTTGATCGCCAACAGCACTTGCCCCAGCAGTCTGTTAAAGTCTACGTGGGGGATATTTGTCTTTTGTCAATACACATTACACTTATCATGTCTAAGGAGACAATCCACAACTCTTGAACCCCCCACCCGTCTGGAGTATAAATAATTAAATAAAAATCTAACGACCTCATGCTGGGTAACATTATCTTCTGATGAGTAACGAGTGACGCTGCCCTGTTGTTATGTCATCAGCTTGGAGCCCTGTTACCACAATCCATCTCGCATGGTGGTGATCATCGTCCTCTTGGCTGTGGTGGTGTCCCCTCTGACTTTATCCATTCATGCCGTGGTGATCCGTGGTATCCTCTCTGACTTTATCCATTCATGCCATCGTGATCCGTGGTGTCCTCTCTGACTTTATCCATTCATGCCATCGTGATCCGTGGTATCCCCTCTGACTTTATCCATTCATGCCATCGTGATCCGTGGTATCCCCTCTTACTTTATCCATTCATGCCGTCGTGATCCGTGGTATCCCCTCTGACTTTATCCATTCATGCCGTCGTGATCCGTGGTATCCCCTCTGACTTTATCCATTCATGCCATCGTGATCCGTGGTATCCCCTCTTACTTTATCCATTCATGCCGTCGTGATCCGTGGTATCCCCTCTGACTTTATCCATTCATGCCGTCGTGATCCGTGGTATCCCCTCTTACTTTATCCATTCATGCCGTCGTGATCCGTGGTATCCCCTCTGACTTTATCCATTCATGCCATCGTGATCCGTGGTATCCCCTCTGACTTTATCCATTCATGCCATCGTGATCCGTGGTATCCCCTCTTACTTTATCCATTCATGCCGTCGTGATCCGTGGTATCCCCTCTGACTTTATCCATTCATGCCGTCGTGATCCGTGGTATCCCCTCTTACTTTATCCATTCATGCCGTCGTGATCCGTGGTATCCCCTCTGACTTTATCCATTCATGCCATCGTGATCCGTGGTATCCCCTCTGACTTTATCCATTCATGCCGTCGTGATCCGTGGTGTCCCCTCTGACTTTATCCATTCATGCCGTCGTGATCCGTGGCTTCTTCTGGCGATGCGTCCTGCCCCTGCCTCTAAGCCACGCGCTTCCTCTCTCCCGAACATTCCCAGCGCGCGTTTCTCCACGCTTCTTTCATCTTCCGTCCCGTCACCTGTCCACACGTTCACGATCCACATTTTCCAATTAACTTTATCACTCAAAGTACATCATTTGCGTCGTTCTGGAGACTACTGTGAATATATAGCGCAATGAAATAAGGCCGAGACGTCGCCTATTGTTGTTTTGTGTGTATTGTAAGGTGGCAGTGTTGTTGACGGCACGTGTTGAGTATTTAAAAATTAAGTTCGACTCCAGGTGTGGGGGTGGGGGAGCGGCGGGGCTGTGGGGTAGCCTGGGGAGTGAGGGGCGGGGCTGTGGGGTAGCCTGGGGAGTGAGGGGCGGGGCTGTGGGGTAGCCTGGGGAGTGAGGGGCGGGGCTGTGGGGGTAGACTGGGTAGTGAGGGGCGGGGCTGTGGGGGTAGCCTGGGGAGTGAAGGGCGGGGCTGTGGGGGTCTCCTGGGGAGTGAGGGGCGGGGCTGTGGGGGTCTCCTGGGTAGTGAGGGGCGGGGCTGTGGGGGTCTCCTGGGGAGTGAGGGGCGGGGCTGTGGGGTAGCCTGGGGAATGAGGGGCGGGGCTGTGGTCTTCAGGTTGGATGAGGGGCGGGGCTGTGGGGGAGGAGGGGCGATAAGTCCGGGAAGTGAGGGGCGGGGCTGTGAGGGGCGGGGCTGTGACGTCACGACTAACATGGCGAGCGTGGTGGATGTTTGTGTGGTGGTTTAGGTGGCGTGGTGGTGGTGATGGGGTGATGATGGTGGTGGTGTAGTGATGATGGTGGTGGTGTAGTGATGATGGTGGTGGTGTAGTGATGGTGGTGGTGATGTTCGTGTTCGGGCAGTGCTGTTGTGAAATCGCGATGAGAGGGGCAGAGCTGACGGGATGTGGTCCGACGGTTGACGATCATCGCCAGTAGCAGCAGTGGGGACGAGGTAATGTACAGCACTGTACACAGCACTGTACACAGCACTCACACAATATAACACTATCACACAATATAACACTCACACGATATAACACTATCACACAATATAACACTATCACACAATATAACACTATCACACAATATAACACTATCATACAATAACACTATCATACAATAACACTATCATACAATATAACACTATCATACAATATAACACTATCACACAATATAACACTATTACACTAACACTATCACACAATAACACTATTACACTAACACTATCACACAATATAACACTATCATACAATAACACTATCATACAATAACACTATCATACAATAACACACAATAACACTATCACACAATACCACTATCACACAATATAACACTATCATACAATAACACTATCATACAATAATACTATTACACAATAACACTATCACACAATAACACTATCACACAATATAACACTATCATACAATAACACTATTACACTAACACTATCACACAATATAACACTATCATACAATATAACACTATCATACAATAACACTATCATACAATATAACACTATCATACAATAACACTATCATACAATAACACTATTACACTAACACTATCATACAATAACACTATTACACAATAACACTATCATACAATAACACTATCATACAATAACACTATCATACAATAACACTATTACACAATAACACTATCACACAATAACACTATCGCACAATATAACACTAGCACACAATATAACACTATCATACAATAACACTATTACACTAACACTATCATACAATAACACTATCATACAATAACACTCATACAATAACACTATCACACAATAACACTATCACACAATAACACTATCATACAATAACACTATCATACAATAACACTATCATACAATAACACTTACACTAACACTATCATACAATAACACTATCACACAATAACACTATCACACAATAACACTATCATACAATAACACTATCATACAATAACACTCACACAATAACACTATTACACTAACACTATCACACAATATAACACTATCATACAATAACACTCATACAATAACACTATTACACTAACACTGTCACACATTAACACTATCACACAATAACACTCTTACACTAACACTATCATACAATAACACTATCATACAATAACACTATTACACTAACACTATCACACAATAACACTATCATACAATAACACTATCATACAATAACACTATTGCACTAACACTATCACAATAACACTATCACACAATAACACTATCATACAATAACACTATCACACAATAACACTATCACACAATAACACTATCACACAATAACACTATCACACAATAAACTATCACACAATAACACTATCACACAATAACACTATCATACAATAACACTCACACAATATAACACTATCATACAATAACACTATTACACTAACACTATCATACAATAACACTATCACACAATAACACTATCATACAATAACACTATCATACAATATAACACTATCATACAATATAACACTATCATACAATAACACTATTACACTAACACTATCACACAATAACACTATCATGCAATAACACTATCATACAATAACACTATCATACAATAACACTATTACACTAACACTATCACACAATAACACTATCATACAATAACACTATCATACAATAACACTATTACACTAACACTATCACAATAACACTATCACACAATAACACTATCATACAATAACACTATTACACTAACACTATCACACAATAACACTATTACACTAACACTATCACACAATAACACTATCACACAATAACACAATAACACTATCACACAATAACACTATCATACAATAACACTATTACACAATAACACTATCATACAATAACACTATCATACAATAACACTATCATACAATAACACTATTACACAATAACACTATCACACAATAACACTATCGCACAATATAACACTAGCACACAATATAACACTATCATACAATAACACTATTACACTAACACTATCATACAATAACACTATCATACAATAACACTCATACAATAACACTATCACACAATAACACTATCACACAATAACACTATCATACAATAACACTATCATACAATAACACTATCATACAATAACACTTACACTAACACTATCATACAATAACACTATCACACAATAACACTATCACACAATAACACTATCATACAATAACACTATCATACAATAACACTCACACAATAACACTATTACACTAACACTATCACACAATATAACACTATCATACAATAACACTCATACAATAACACTATTACACTAACACTGTCACACATTAACACTATCACACAATAACACTCTTACACTAACACTATCATACAATAACACTATCATACAATAACACTATTACACTAACACTATCACACAATAACACTATCATACAATAACACTATCATACAATAACACTATTGCACTAACACTATCACAATAACACTATCACACAATAACACTATCATACAATAACACTATCACACAATAACACTATCACACAATAACACTATCACACAATAACACTATCACACAATAAACTATCACACAATAACACTATCACACAATAACACTATCATACAATAACACTCACACAATATAACACTATCATACAATAACACTATTACACTAACACTATCATACAATAACACTATCACACAATAACACTATCATACAATAACACTATCATACAATATAACACTATCATACAATATAACACTATCATACAATAACACTATTACACTAACACTATCACACAATAACACTATCATGCAATAACACTATCATACAATAACACTATCATACAATAACACTATTACACTAACACTATCACACAATAACACTATCATACAATAACACTATCATACAATAACACTATTACACTAACACTATCACAATAACACTATCACACAATAACACTATCATACAATAACACTATTACACTAACACTATCACACAATAACACTATTACACTAACACTATCACACAATAACACTATCACACAATAACACAATAACACTATCACACAATAACACTATCATACAATAACACTATCACATAATAACACTATCATACAATAACACTATCACATAATAACACTATCACAATAACACTCATATAATAACACTATCACACAATAACACTATCACACAATAACACTATCACACAATAACACTATCACACAATAACACTATCACACAATAAACTATCACACAATAACACTATCACACAATAACACTATCACACAATAACACTATTACACTAACACTATCACACAATAACACTATCACACAATAACACTATCACACAATAACACTATCACACAATAACACTATCACCCAATAACACTACCACACAATAACACTACCACACAATAACACTATCACACAATAACACTATCACACAATAAACTATCACACAATAACACTATCACCCAATAACACTATCACACAATAACACTATCACACAATAACACTATCATACACTAACACTATCATACAATATAACACTATCATACAATATAACACTATCATACAATAACACTATCATACAATAACACTATCATACAATAACACTATCACACAATAACACTATCACACAATAACACTATCATACAATAATACTATTACACGTCAAGTTATAATACAATAACACTCTCACACCCGTATTAAAACGCGTAACAATACAAGCGATGACGTGTTTACACTTTTGTGTATACAACACTGCTGTTTAACATAACGTAAAGCACCAGCCAGTACACACACCACTACATTACAGTACGTACTGTGCTACACGAACACTATTACACGTGGCAACTGTATTACACGCAACACTTACTATAATGTAGTCACGTCACACAATTCATTAGAGAGTAGTGTAGGTTCGTGATGTACTGTTTACCCTGTATAATGTAATATGGTTTATACACACACACCATACCACTCTAGCGATGTTGTGGTTTGGCTCTCCAACACACCGGTTAGTGCTGTACTAGTGCTGTACTAGTATACTACACTATACACTAGTGCTGTACTAGTATACTACACTATACACTAGTGCTGTACTAGTATACTACACTATACACTACACACTAGTGCTGTACTAGTATACTACACTATACACTAGTGCTGTACTAGTATACTACACTATACACTACACACTAGTGCTGTACTAGTATACTACACTATACACTAGTGCTGTACTAGTATACTACACTATACAGTAGTGCTGTACTAGTGCTGTAATAGTATACTACACTATACACTAGTGCTGTACTAGTATATTACACTATACACTACACACTAGTGCTGTACTAGTATACTACACTATACACTAGTGCTGTACTAGTATACTACACTATACACTACACACTAGTGCTGTACTAGAATACTACACTATACACTACACACTAGTGCTGTAAAAGTATACTACACTATACACTACACTATACACTAGTGCTGTACTAGTATACTACACTATATACTACACACTAGTGCTGTACTAGTGCTGTACTAGTATACTACACTATACACCACACTATACACTAGTGCTGTACTAGTGCTGTACTAGTATACTACACTATACACTACACACTAGTGCTGTACTAGTATACTACACTATACACTGCACTGTACACTAGTGCTGTACTAGTATACTACACTATACACTAGTGCTGTACTAGTATACTACACTATACACTACACACTAGTGCTGTACTAGTGCTGTAGTAGTGCTCTACTAGTATACTACACACTAGTGCTGTACTAGTATGCTACACTATACACTGCACACTAGTGCTGTACTAGTATACTACACTATACACTACACTATACACTAGTGCTGTACTAGTATACTGCACTATATACTACACACTAGTGCTGTACTAGTATACTACACTATACACTACACTATACACTAGTGCTGTACTAGTATACTACAC